AAATCATCGGCGCTGCGTCTCACGTGGTGCTCGACTTCCGCTATTTCTTCTGCTTCTATTTTTGCGAACTGAAATCATATTCAACTTTCGAGAAATTGATTTTTTATTAATGACGGGAACCTTTTTCAACTTTTGGTATGGATGTTCCACATTGTCAACGTTATCTCGACCAGGATCATTCTATTTATTGAAGATGAGAAAATGCTTTATACGAATTAACTTAATGTTTTGCTACGTACTGACCTTTTTCTCTTTCTTCTCCTCCTTCGTCTTGTTATTTTCTATCAAGTGAAAGAATAAAACAACAAACGCGATAGCAGCCGAACTGAGCAAGAGACGTGTGAAGAACGAGAATACCATAAAGTGCTCCTTGACAGGGCATTCTTCCCACTCGTCTGGATCGTAGCCCAAGCTAGCATCGAAAACCATTCGCACCTGCAATAATTAGAATTTTATGTTAAGATGTTAGAAAGTGACCCAATAGACGAAAAAAATTCAACACAAAAGTAGAGACAAGTTGCAAAAAAAACAATGAGAAATGAGATAATGATTTACAGGGCACTGTCATCTACAATTGTCATCCTCCGCATCGGTGGACTTGACATGTACAGAAAAGGTGCAGGCTAATAATTTCCTTGTTTTTAAATTCTTCATGCGATTACTCAATCGTAATGGCCTGTGTTAACAGCAGATACTTAATTAGATGCTTACTTAGAAATTATTAGCCTGCAGCTATTTTACTCACTTACCAAGTATCTAAGTAGGTAAAATAGCTGCAGACTAATAATTTCCTCGGTTTTGAATTAGATTTTTTGAAAAGGACAAAGCTCAGCTTCTAGAAATCCGCGGCTGCGTGTTTCCCAGAAATTGCGTTCTATATGAAGATAATTGCCGAACTTTATTCAGCATGTCAATATAAACCTTTACAAACTTGCAACAGCTTAGCGCAGAAGCCGGAAATAAATTAGTGAAAGCAATCAATCTTTTTCTTATGTTCGTTAACGGCTAGGCAATCCTCACGCAACAAATTCCACATTGATAAAACGATAGAGCCAATACTCCTCCAGACGGCTGATAGTCCTAATCAGCATAGCAAGAGTCCTCTACGCGTAATTTTCAGTAGCTGTAAGTGAAAAATGCAAAAAAATTAATAATTCCCGAAATTCAACAGATATTTTTCAGGAAAAAGTGCCTAAGTTTTTGTCTAAAACTGCACGCAGGAGTCTCTTTTTTTATAACCTCATGCTGTTTACTCGGTACCAAATTCACATTAAAGAAACAATTTTTAGTTGAAGTGCAACCAAACATGTCTCATGTTTTGCGAGTGATACTAATGGTACTGCCTATTTGCATTCACTTCTCAATGCACTAAAAATAAAATCCATTTTTTCGAAAAAGCAGTTACCTTGAATGCAAATTCTCAGAGTTATCACGAAGAGTGGGCGGTGGTACAAGAATACCGATCAGCTGGACCCTTATCAGAAAAGCTTAGTGCTTGCGCTGAGCAAGCGATCGTCAAATCAAACTTTATTTCTCAGTCCACTAGGCAGAAGTCAGTATGTCTCTCAGCTCTCTGTCTAAAAGCACATCTCTTGAATATTTAAATTAAACTTTTCAATTACTTATGATTTAGAAAAATCCTAATTCTATTTTGTGTGCTCTTACATTATATGTCATAACAAATTATTCTCATTGCGACTAATTACATTTACAACTACTGCAAATGTTCTTTTTAACTCCAAAGAAAATAGCCATGGCAATTTCAGAACTGAAGACACTATCGGAATCGTGAAACAGCTCAAGCCTGGAGATACGGTTATATTTGATGTCAACTTCAAAAGGCTCTGGACAGATATTTTATCTTATCGTGGTTTTCATAATCCCACCGATTACATCTAACCACTACACTGTATTGTACTATCAGCTACCATCAGAAAATTTATCTTCTATTGAGATAACGTCACGTCTACTATATACAACAACTAGTTTGACATTTACAGTCCACCATTTCAACGCAACGCCAGAGCTCATAGTTCTGGTAGGCGGGAAAAGGTAAGATAGTTAAATCACAATAAATTTACCACAAAACTGAGCGCAATTTTCAAGCCACTATAATATGTTAGTATGTTATCGGACTAAAGGAAGAGCGATAGAAACGTTTCTTCTTCAGACCGCAAATTAATTTTAAGTTTTGCACTTATGAAAGAACATATGGTCTGCTTTTTTGGGTTTTGTGCATAGGAGTGCAAAAAAATGATGCGGACTACAACACCGTCCCTGATGATTCCATTTTTTAAAAAAATCTAGATATATATATATATATATATATATATTTGGAATCCTGAGTATTTTCC